GCGGGGGCGAGGCTTCGTGATGTCACTTCACTTTCCAAACCTCATGAGGCTGTGTTCATCAAAATATGAACAAGCGAAGACAGGAAGTCTGACTAGAAATTGCAAAATTCATCTGTATTTGATTTTTTATAATGACTTCATCTTCATTTTTCATCTAAGATATGCCTGTAACAATTCAGAGATGAAGTTTTGTCACTTTAGTATATTACAAAATAAGCCTTAGCTGTAATCTCGTGTTTTGAATATCGGTGTCATTTATTCTATCTTATTTGGGGCTAGTGTATGCGTAAATAATTAATCAAACCTTAAACAATTAATAATTGTAATTATTATTTTGTACCAGCAGAGAGCAGCACAAACATTTAAAACATGGCTCAGGCCTTCTCAACCAGCAGATAAGTTTATAATGTACAACAGCGTTGATATACTTATAGACTCAAAGGTGTGAAATAACAGTGAAAACAAATAAATACTCAATGCTTCCAAGGAGTCAGACTTGTAATGTTTTTTAAAAAGTGGTCCTGAGTAATAGTTCTTCAGGTTTGGACGTTGGCTGATTTTGTTTTTGTTCAGCCACTTAATAAGACTGAACCAGTTTTTAATTGTATCTTCAGGATGTTGTTACTATAGGACATCATTTGTTCCAATTTCTGTAGTTTAAAACTATTTATTGTATCATGGTCTCTCCTAAAGTGTTTTTGTGGATAATTGACTCCATTTACATATAGGGGCTTTTCCCATACTTCACTGAACAGGTATGTGCCACCCTGCCTAGACCTCTTTCCCCTCCTTCACCCCTCCCCCATCTAAAATTTTCTACATCTGCCACTGGTTGAATATATGAAAAAGAGATAAAGATATCACAGTCTGAAGAACATACATTTATAATTTTGTACTAACAATGTGAGTCTGAAAGAGCTGTTTTCTGAAAATTTGGCATGCCTTGCATAATGTGCAACGTGGGTCAAAAGAAGAAGTGGCAGGCCTAAATAATAACCTATCTGCTATCTATGAAAGATGCATCTGGCCCTTCAGGTGATACAGTTCTGTATCAATGGAAGGAAGGCACCGTCAAGAAGACAGAAAAGAAATTTTGAGGTATGCCAGCAAGGGCGTAGATTTGGTTTTGGCATTGGTGGGGACGGATGATTCAACCGCCGAACCCTGCCCTGTTTCTTTTTTTTTTTTCCTTTTTGTTTTTGCTTCTTAATAAAAAGAGGAGAAATACACTTGCCTACATATGCTATTCTACGTGCTTTTAAACCATTTAAAATCACAATTCATAGTTTTATATCTGAATTATATAATGTTAAATTACTATTAAATAAATGACTGACTAAGTATTTTAGGCTTTAGTTTACTTCAGCCATATTCCATATAAATCAGGTATCATACAAAAATAAAAATAGCTTCAAATACAGTCATGACAATAAAAGAATATGACTTTAAGGACTTAACAACATTACTTCAGTTATAGTACAACATCTGTT